GTATCATATGTATATATTTGAGAGCAATTGAACCACCCTCTTATCGAATCTTCCCACTGCACGACGCTGCTTTCTATAAGTACTTTGAGTCTTTTTTGTTGCTGCTGATTTAATTTGATTTGCGGATGGCCACGTCAACGAGATCTTTTGCTGTGCGAGCTATCTAAATTTACATCTTAATTTAATGAGCACAATGATTCAGTATTTTAATGCGTTGTAGAAATGGGCGTAACGGTGAATTCAGTCAATTATGGGGGAAAATAAGAGTTAAATATATCAACCAAAATATTAGCAGGAGTACTAATTGAACTAGTATTAAGAGTATTTCTATGGGAGAAGGAGCCACTCCCAATGAAATGGACACAAAAACCTCAGGGTTACGATTTAAATGCACTCATCTGGAATGTCCGGTCCTTAATTGGAGTTGGCAAAGAAATAATCCTTGCTCCACGAGGAAACATCCCCAAATATGTTGAGGCTTCGCCGGGTTCGAAATATGGTTAACTGTATTATTAGCTTCCAGCATAGGAAAATTCACAAAGCTACCTGGCTGCCTCCGGATCGAAAAGTCTCTAACCAGATCGGTCATGTTGTGACAGAGAAGACACGTATCTCGTGTTTCAGACGTTCGCACGCTTCGAGGTGCTAAAATTTACTCACCCAAATTTTGGCATATCGACTGTCAATCGGGTATGAGAGAACTGCCAGTAACAAATTTTTAGTTATGGTTAAAATTTGCTGTCGARCTTCGATTGATATTAAATATTTTCGGACTTGGCGATAGAAGAAAGAACAAAGGTTTGCGAAAATGGAAATGGCAGTTATGTAGTCACAAATAACTGTGCATTAAAGTCTGAAGACATTACAAGGTTCACTCCCGTGCTATTTTCCAATAGAATTGATAGTAGGGATATCTGGAACACCGTCGATGAATAAATGAATAAAAATAATTAAACATATATATTTATTAATATTTTTGTCTCAGTCATTATTTCTCAAAAATCTGAAGCTGGCCGAGCAAAGCAYACGATCTGCTTTAAGCAACAGCAATTTCAAAATTAGACGGATTTTCAGCGAAAAATCATCTTCATCGCTGGTTTCGCTCATTTCAGGCTGAAAGGCTTCGTCAATAAGCAAAATATGCATTATTGGTCAGGCAGCAATACATACGTACTCCATGAGTCACGACTGCTTCCCGAAAAAATTACGGTTTGGTGCGGATTATGGGTAGTGATGACCAAGACCGGCACGTCACTGTGAATGGGCATCGCTACCGCTCAATGATAACCAAATATTTTTGGCCCGAGTTGGATGATATGGACTTGGGAAATATGTGGTTCCAATAGGATGGCGTCACAAGCCACATAGCGAATGCTACAATCGATTTATTGAAAACCAAGTTTGGTGAACGTGTTATCTCACATAATGGCCCAGTCAATTGGCAGCCACGTTTTGCGATTTGACGCTGTTAGGCTATTTCCTGTGGGGCCACGTCAAGTATATGGTCTATACAAACAAGCCCGCAACGACTGATGAACTTCGTATGAACATCGCACGTGAAATTGCAGCAGTATCGACCGATTTATGCTTGCAACCCGTCGAAAATTGGGTTCAGCGTCTGGACTTTAGCAAATGTGCGCGGGTGACAATGCRAAGGAAATCGAGTTTGAAACGTAATGGCATAGAATGTCCCAAAGAGCTTTTGTTTTATTAGAAAAAAAAATTGAACGCTCTTATTGAAAAACCCGTTACTAACTAGTACAATTATGGTTCGGCTAATGGAGATAAATATGGTTAAAAAATATTCAAATAATAAAATAATAAGTTTGACCGAACTAATAAAGAWACTAGTCATCACAAAAGAATATCACTTGTAAAGATTCTTATGTACATATGTATTACGAACGTGGACCAGATTAGATAGGGATGAAAATTGCGCTTCATGTCTTTAAGAAAATTAAGATACTGTCCCAAAACAAAAAAAAAAAATAAAATAAATGTTAGTGTTTGAGAACCACTCCCACTCCCTTATGATTCCCATTTCTCTATATCAAGTCTAGTAAAAAAAATGTTTACCAGAAAAACCATTAGACGTAATACGGTGTACTGGGTCGAACTATAAGTTGGACCCAAAAATACCTCTCAATTGGAATACCTGGTGAGTCCCTATTATTATGTATTTCTTAAAGTTGTCCTCATGGAACACTATGCCTCTGTTATTGACCAAAAGCGCTTTCTGAAGGTCCAATTTTTGACAGGATATGTCTAACTAAGAGTTTGGTCTGGTCTCCAGTTCCTTGATACCGTAATAGCTCTTGAGCGATCCAAACTGTGTTTACCTAACGGTCGGATTCGATGATTTCCATTATTTTAACGATATTTTAACAATTGGCTGATTMATTTTTGATATCAAATTAATAGGAACGAAATCGACGAGACCCAAATTTCATGATGGGCGGTTACAGCGTCAATACTATAAACGCTTTACACTTTTTTAGCCGCCTGACTTGCGTTTTCACCTTTATGGAAAAAATACGGTAAATTTTCTCTTTGCCGGTGTCCATATTTAACTCAGCCTCACACAGAACTAAGTCAAGTGATCACAAAAATGTCTAAAATGTGTTTTTTTTTTTTTTTTTGTACGAAGTCTTGTCAATCTAACGCCATATAGTGTAAGCCGATCACTTTTATATAAGGCAATATACATATTACTAAAGAATAAAAAAAAAAGTTTTTACTTTTTTTACCAGACCCGCCGCWACAATCTAGCTGCCTCGATGGCACCTGCTTCAGAGGTTGAAAACTTTCTATGTGGTTTCGTGCAACTAGAAAATTGCTGTGAACTCATAAAAAAGTTACTTTGGCGTGGCATGTATCGATTTACTATAAATACAGCCACTAAAAATAGATRCAACTACTTGTTTATATTTAGTTTTATTAACCACAATGTACGCATTTACACTCTACACACATACTGGTAAACAGTTATTTTATTTTTGAATCATAAATCACAAACMACCAACAATAAACAAGTCAGAAAGCGCTTGTAGAGGAATTCATGGAATGGAAAACACTAGTATGTTGCTTGAAATAGGCTGAAGGTGAGCGCCACATTCAAAATGGCCGACTCTAAAGTCAACRAGCGCAYACACACACACACACACGAGTATAAATGGAAGGGAAGCGAATGTGGCCCGAACAGAGCGACATGGAACTGCGCCTGGCATGGAGTGCACGTCTAGCAGTGCAGCAGGAAAAATTAGAAAAAATATGCTGTGGCAAGACAATGTGGCATTTCATATATCAGTGCCGAGTTGGCACTGTGGCATGGCAYCAAGTTGGAGCTGAAACAATGCGCATAGCTTGGCAACAAACTAACTATGTTTCACGCACGATTGCCATTCAATGAAAGGCTGGGTGCATGTGTGTGTGTATGAATGGTTAATATGTGTATATTTGTGTTTGTGTGTTTGTGTCTATTTGTCTACTATATATGAATACGAGATTATTTGTTGGAATGCCACATAGCYWGTGGAAAATATCSCTTGTTATATAACTGCTTGTATACATATTTATTATATAAGCAGCTATCAGACGCCATATTTTCAMCGAAACGTGRGCATGTATGTGTGTGCGTGAATATTTGCTGAGCTTGGCGCATACAGCTCCACCTAGTCACTGCTGTGATTGGCCAATAGCACAGGTGGCAACCAACACCACTCAGCTAGCGCGCATAGTGAACACTTGTGTGTGTGTGTTCGTGTTCTCTCAGTGTGTATGTTGTATAAGCAAGCTAAGCAGTTGTAACTGTTGCCTGCTGTGTGCAAGCCACCCTCGCCTGTTCGAAGCCATTTACATAACGGTATGCACGCACATATGTGTGTGTGTTAGTGGTTTTGTATGTGTGTGTGTGTGAGGCAATGAAAATTCCTTTGCATCGCAGCGTGTCTCTGTATAAGCAGCGCACACAGCTTTTCACCACACTAGTGCTGCGCTCTTCTTTAGCTTGCGCTAGAACGGGTGGTGTATAGCTGGTGTGGTGAATATGGCGCTCATGCTTGGCTTTGACGGCAGGCATGTGTGGCTAAAAAGGATACTGAGGCTAGTTCTTCGTGCGTAGTCCTGCTGTGTGGTGTAATCGGTCCAAGCGGAGCTCTCAACGTGTTAGTCAGTGTTCAGAAAAAAAATATATATAAAATTACCAATAAAAAAAATTATTAATTTAATTAAAAATAGTTGAAGAAAGTGTTGCATAATATTCGACAATAAGTGTTTAATTAAATGATAAGAGAAAAAATATTTAAAAAAAAGCTTAGCAGCCAGGTCCTCGAAAATTTTCACTTTCACAGCTCGCTTTCATTATATACCATTATATATTACATACATATATATGAACAAACACACGCAAAAGAAAGTCTATTGGAATGCTGCTGGCTTCCAATGTGCGCTGCTAACTTTCCAGGGCACTTTTTTCCGTCATATGCAGTTATTCCGCTGCAGCAACGCAGTTTGCGTGTGAGTGGGAGCGCTACACTKATATCAATTGTATGTACGTCAGTCATCAGAACCCCTAATAATTTCTAACCCACTCGTGTCCAATCTTGCACCCACTCGTTTAACTATCCCCCTCACTCACTCGCATTCGCATCGCACTCATTCTCCTCAACGCTTGCAATCAGCGCACACCTAACTCAAATCTCAGCTYTGCAACACTGTATGTCTACATGCTAGGGAAACGAGGGGAATACTTAGTCAAATATGTATTTGATAAGCTGCTGCGATCTTCCAAGTCCACTGCCTTGGCAGTTGCTGCAATTATCAATCGCAACTCTCGCAGTCCTCCGTTAGAGCTCCAAACGTTTTGCTCGCGCAGCTAAACGCTCGGTTCGCGAGATGTCGCCACGGCTGCTGAGCAACTTTTAAGTTCCTTAACAATTTTATAGAAACTTTTAGTTCATTTATTTTTTACGTTTACGTTTTCATAACTTAATAATGTGGTATTGTGCTAAGAGAAATTTTCAGTTCGAAAAAAATTTAATTTTAATAATCCGCAAATAATTTTCGCAGCGAAATCCGTTAAAAACTCCGACGCCAATGCAACTTATCAGTAATTGTATCGATGTACCTTGTTTGTGATAAATTTTAAGAGTATTTTTTTTTTTTTTTTGCCTAACATAAAATATTCAAAACTCGTGGCATATAACTCAACAGATATACATGAGACTACCGAAACTATATGATGGAAAGGATTATGTAGAACTGCAGTGTGAGTATTTTACAAAAGAAACAAAAA